GAAATATATTTCTGATGGTCGGAAACATAAATAAACAACTGCGCGCTTCCACCACCAACCAGTCGACAATATATTGTCGATTGGTATCTTTACGTATCGTTTTCGTTTAAAAATAATTGCCCAATTAATGTTTTATAAGCATGGATGCCTATCAGATTATTATTTTCTTTTACTTTTTATTACAATTAAAGCTGTATATATCACTGAAATTCCAGCTCATACGTTTCTTCGAAAAAAGTTATGTTATTTAGCTCAGGTGTTAACTGAATGTAGCAGTGGAAAATAACACTTTGATAATTCAATTACGCAGCGTCGTGCATTCGTGTTTCTAAGGACAGCTGGCGGTATTTCGAGATAACTACATCATACTGAATACAAAATATATCGACACGTGATAGTTTTCGACCACGTTACCCCACCTGTTTTCGTGACATTGGAGAAAGCGCGCGACATTCACCTAAAAAAAATGAATAAATAAAGAGAAACAGAAACTCGTCCTACGAATTGGCATGGACAAATTCGTGTAAACTAAACAAAAAGTTCGGCGGGACGGAGGTCGATACGAACCTCTCTAACAGCAATTAAAAGATGGGCGCCACCCCACCCCAATGACTCACCAGTTTTACGATAGTTGACCACGGAGAAGGCCACCTGTGGAGAATTTTGACGAATCTGTAGAAGTATTTACAAACGAAAGGTGAAAATACCTGAGAGAGTAGGCATGCCCTTCAACCACGCTCCTCAGACCGGTTTTGACAGTATTTCAACCTCAACCTTGTCAATGTCGCGCGAGTTAGTTCTCGCTTCGATCCTACGAAATTTTGCACAACGAACAAACGGAATCGGCAACTTCCGTCAATTCCTTCAAGGTTAAAACCGTATTAAAATATTAATAGAAAAATTCAACGGAGCGCTTCTTTCCTGTTTCTTACGTTCTTTCCGCGTGCCGCCAAATAACTCCAAATTTAAAAAGAAAGGAAAAAAAAATGAATTCTCGCAACGTCCGCATTATCTCAATCCCAACCCCAACGAATTTTACAGTCGTGGGTTCGTTCCGTCCGTCCGTCCGAAGCACACAGCTTATGAGTCGAAGGTAGTAAATTTCAACACTGCCGGTCAATAGTCAGTTTTCTAGTCTTTCGAGGAATGACCTTTGCCTTCGTGACCTTTCCCAAATTATCGAAGAGCTAGTAAAATACGAATTTCGCGCCAAGATTCGAACCCGCGTGAAGACCATAGCGTTTAGAGCACAAAAAAATCGAAAGTAATAGAAGAGAGAGAGAAAGAGCAGACGTCTGCACTTACCTCGATCGTAGTCTGATAAAAGAGCAGGCAGGTAAAGGACGCCCCGTCGCAGCCAGACTGTTGTTAATTCCAAAGCGAAGGAAGATTCGAGACGTCGGAGGTTTAAAAAAAAGGCGGAGGTGTCGCCGAGGGTATAAAAATGGACGGCGCCGACAGAATAAATACACCTATCGCGAATACAATACACAACACGCAAACAAACCACTGCTTCTCTTCTCCATTAGAGGGAGTTGCGAGTCGCGAACCGCCAACCCGACGACAGAGACACCGTCTGTCTGTTATTGTAATTTCTGAATGGACAGGTGTTGCAATCTCCTGTTTGTGTACAGTCGACAGAACTCTTCGACGAATATATTTATTAAAATAATAAGCGTCGAAACTGAAATTTGTCTTTTGGGCGATGTCTTAAAATGACGAGAATTAAAATATTATAAAAAAAAAAATCCATTAAGTCGGTTCTTAGCGCGAAACACCTCGACTCTCCCCCTTAAATGTTTTACGTGTCGAAAGCAGTAAACACCTTTATTGTACGGTTTTTGCACAACGTTCTCTCAACAAAGGAATATTTCTCATTTAACATTGACGCCTAAATGGGAAATTCGAGACGAAACTTTTGTTGTTTTTTTATTTTATTTCTTTTTACGCGAGTTCGAAGATCGATGGAAAGATAATATTAAACAGGAAAATCGCTATTAGTATTGTTATTGTTTCTACTTATCGATGTTGCACTTAGCTGATGAATCCGATGGCGATCGTGATCCATTTTTAAAATTAGTTATAGAGATCTTAAATTCTAGTTTTTCTTTTAAAAGTAGTATGGATATAAAGAGAAGGAGAGCCTTTGAAATCAATTGTGTGGAGAAACTTTTGTTGTCAAGGTATTTAGGTCGGAATTTCCAATATTTTACATTGATGCAATAAATTTCTTTATCGGGGATTTAAGTATCGAGGCGATTGTGAGAAACGTAGTATTCTAGTTAAGATATTTGCAAGTTACGTTATACGTTTTTTTATCCTTTGATCAAAATCGCATTGTCTTTGCGAGTGTTGCGAAAAAATGTAAAGTTATTCTTAAGATTGCTAAATAAATTATTATATGATTTTTTTAAAAAAATAATGCAATTAATTGTAAATTAATTTCGTTAGTAACGTTTTTCTTTATACGTGACTTTTCAAATAATTTAAAGTTATTTTTATGTTTTGTATTTCTGTTTACAGTATATGCTTGACAATAAGCAATATAAAACAACTGAAATGTAGGTATAAAATTAAAAAGATTATGAAAATTTTTAACTTTTTAATTTCTACATAAANTGTACATTTAAACTTGAAAAATTATATTTAAAAAATTACCATATTTTGAATTCTCATAAAACTTTAAACACGTCGAATTTGTAACAGAAGAAAGGCGTTAAAAATGAACGTGTTGTATCATTTATCACTCTTTATGTATTTTAATTAGTTGGAATATAGACCCGAATGTTCATCGAACATTCAGTGTCGCCATCTGTTATTACAGAATAATACTTTAGATTTATTAACCCCCAAAATCTTTGTAATCTAATCCAATAGGCTACCTTCTTGTACTCGACAATCAAGCGTTTTAAATGCGTTTAGCGATAACATTTATTATCCGTTATAACTTATCTTAGAGATAAGTTATCATTTATATATTTTTGGAATTTTAATTACTCAGTGTTGTGTGACTTGGGTATGGTTTTAATTAAATGCTCCTTCACGTTTTATAAATATAATGTTAATATTTAAAGGGAATTGTAGGTCGATAATAAATAAATATAGTTTAAAGGGATCTAAATAAGAAAAATGTTGGAAATAATTACAAACTTTTCTATTAAAACGAGCATTTTTTTCATTCTAATTTAAAACATAATTACGTGTATTTAAAAATTCAAAAAAATATATAAATTTTCTTAACTGGTAAACAAATCTGCGAAAATTAAAACATTTAATCATTTAATTTATCAATATATCTAGATTAAATTAAGTTGTTATTTATCTCTCCTAATTGCTGTAAATAATATAGCAGTTTAGAGAAATTTTAATCATATTAAATTGCGAAATTATCGATTTTAATTCAACTCTCACATTACAAATTATATACGTTAACGAGTTAAGTGCAAAAAAAAAAAAATGTTTAATAATTTATATAGATTTACATTGCTTATAAATTAGATGAAATTTAATTGAATTTTCTACAAAATATGTTTAAACAATATTGTCACACCTCATAAACTGTAACTTTTATCGTCCGAGTTTTTACAGTAGAATGATGTAAAAAACAATTGCGAAATAATTCTATAATAAATGTCCAGTTGTGCGCTGTTTGTAATAAACGTCTACATAGAAATATTTACGCTATACCGAGAAAAAACCTCAATAAAGCGATTCATTCGATGAACTGTCTTTAAACAAGCATTTTAATAACTTCGATTTTAAACTGAATTATTCTTAGACGTTAATCTTTATCGGTTTTAAGCACATTAAATGTACAGTACTTTATTTTATTTTATTATAATTATCGAGAGATCAACTATGCTACTTAAATATACTGAAAATTGATTACATATATGTTTGTAATTTATCAATCTTGTTATTTTTCCGGGTGCAGAAAATTACTTATAAGTGGAGCGTGTAACATCCTCAACGTCCTTCGAGTCTGGCGATTAGAGAGATATAAAGAGAAATAATGCGACTTCTGTAATGGGCCTTTTATAATTTTCATTCTATACTTACTCGACCATTATTCTATTCAGACCGATTTACCGAGTCGGAAGTAATCGACATCAATACGAACTATTCTATAAATACAGTTTAAACATTTACATTAGTTGTATGTACTGTTGGCCTATAGAGCTGAATAGAGATTAAAAAGATTAGAAATAAAATGATAATTCTACAAATAACAGTTGAAATTTCATTAAATATTTAAAATTTCTCATCTAAATTATTATTCGACACTCCTCAATTAACATTAATTATTTTATGAAACTTTATATCATATAATAAAAATAACAAATGGGTCTAATTTATATGTATTTGTTTACAAACATCTATTCCGTTTCAAATAATTTTATTATTTAATATCCATTCGTTGAATATAAAATAAACAAATAAATTATTATTTAATATAACTGAAAAATGTTTAATTTATTTTATTTCCGTCAAATTTATAACATCAGAATATAAACAGTTGAAAAAATACAAAAGTAGGCCTACAATGCTGTTTATTTCTTTGTAGAAAATTAATAGGTAATAAACAAGTTAACTGTTATTTAATTGTTATTCTTTAAAAAATAGAATTACAAGCGTCATTCTGTTTTTAAAGTACTGTAAAGCTCCAATTATTCGGATTACTCTCTGACTTTATTAAAAACAAATAGGCATATATGTATATGTAATGTATTTGGATAAAAGTAATTTTTTCTAAATTTAGAAAATAAATCATATTCATTTGTTCGTGTACTTCCACATAATTATGTACACACGTACAGTACCGAACGGGGTGGTTGGATAGAAAGAAATTACTGCTTTAAGCAAAAATTCGGTTAATTGCACAATTCCGCATAACTGGATGGCTTAAGGTCCTAATTAATTTGGATAATTAGAGTTTTACTGTACACTGCTTTTTTATGTTCGGAAAGAATATTAACTGTTAAATAATTATAATCTTCAAAAGAGATTTTCATCGTTTTAATTAAACATAAACTAACTACAATAAATTTGGCAATTTCTGTTACAAATATAGACGGAGAGACTTCCAAATTAAAAATATTGTAAAGAAATATTTTTTGGAAAATATCTCCTTTTCGAATGCGTTAGCAGGATCCACTTAAAACGACTAAATTTCGAATGGAAATTGTTTGCCCTTCGGAATTACCTATTTTACGAACGACAAATCCAACCTAAAATAAATAAATAAAACAGTCAAATCTAAAAAATAATAATAATTATTATTATATATTTAAAAAATATGAATCTATTTATATACAGAAAATTCAATAATTGAATAATATAAATTTAGAAAACAAAATGTATATATTAAGTAATTTAATACAAAACAAAATGTTTTTCTCATTTGTTTTCACGAAATTTAAATTCTACTTTTATAAATTCATAAATAAAAATAAAACTTCCGTAATATTTCTTTTGTTTTTTAATTTTATAAAAATATTTACAACCTTTTTATCAAATTCATCTCCCGAATCCGCATTTTAGATAAGAACATTAAAATGAGATATTTCCAAAGGATAACATCTATGGCATAATTAATGCAGATATTTAAAAGTGTAAATAAGTGCAATAGCATAAGCCATATAGTTTAACGTAATTATTTATTTTGTTTTGTGAGTTATACTCGGTTCACACCGGTGGCTGTGTACTATGCCGGACCAGAGTCAAGGCATAGCAACCAAAACAAAACTAAAATTAAATGTGTGTGTCAGTGTGTGTGTCTGTATTCAGGAATTTCCTAACAATGTGGCATGTATTCAATATAGTGGCCTTCTGTAGTGTGATGTATGTATTTCTACTCAATTGTAATGTTCCCAGGCTTTTGTGTAGTGTGTGTGGTATCACACCTGTACAGGAGAGAACAACAGGTACAATAAGCACCCTATCCATCCTCCACAGATGCCTGATTTCCTGGGCGAGTTCTGTGTACTTGCTAATTTTTTCAGTGCAT